TTTGAAAKTCACTGATCTAGTGAATAAGTGACACATACGAACACATCTGACAGTTTTCACCCTCAGCTCTTGAAAATAATATTAATCAATAATATTTAAAGAACTCAATTAGTGCTTATAAATTTAGCAAATGCTAATCCACTAATGAGTTAAGAAATTAGAAAAATCCCTTAAGCACTAATCAGGAAATTAGTTCCCCTATCAGTGCTTTAGTGCTTTAGGGGAACTGTGCCCACCACTGTATATTCTTGTTGTGTGCTACAGTAGATGAATTTGTGAAAAGCAAAATGTCTTGATAGAAATCACATTTTCAGGACAAACAGCCACGTATCACAACATGGAGTCTACAGCAGCTTCTTTTCAAGCTGTTTTACTAGATGGCCCCCTCGCATAGAAAATGTCCCACATCCTTTTGCCCCTAATGGCAGACAATTGGTCACCACTCATTTAACTCCCATGATGCACAGGTGCTCTTCTCATCAGTTAGTACAAAAAAAGGGTATTCTGATTGTTTTGTTCCCACCAAACACTTCTTTGGTTGTTTGGTGTCAAAACAGTTACTGTTGGACCATTATTTTACAGTATAGTGGTGCTAACATTGGTAAAAATATAGATTTACTTTAAAATGTTAAACATCCAGAACCAGTTATATAAAAAGAAATCAAATGTCTTGTCATAAACCAAAAAACTAGTTACATTAAATAGAATGCTAAAAATGCATTTAATTTAATCCCTTAATTTTATCCCTAATAAATTAGATTTTTTTAGGCTGAGTTCAGTCATATTCGCACTTGGAACAACAATCTGGTTGACAACAGAACCTACAACAGTTTGCAGCATCAAAACTTATATATTTATTTCCATGTAATGTAGACAGAAGAACCTGGTTTCACCAAAATTAGGAAAACTTGGCCTAAGATCAAAACCTTGCAGGCTAAACTCATAAACCTGAACAAAGCACACCCCTTTTCTGCATAAAACCTCCACAATAAAAGCTCTATTTTTACCCAGAGCACCAACTGTGAATGCTGTTAGATTGTTTAACATTCTGTACCCAGCTGTCTGAGCTGCAGCCTGCTGAAAGTCTGGACAGTATCACTTCAAAGAGTCATCTCCAACTATTCCTGATGTGTTTGTGTCTGTTGCCCTGTTTAAAGCTTGGGTTATACCTCAGTACGATGTGATGTAATTGCGTCATTTCAGACTTCTTTTCCTGACCAAGTATTATCGAGCTGATGATACGGCGGGCCATAAATGATCATAATTCCTCCCACAGCTCAAAGATAAGTTTATAAACAACAATAGTGATGGCTGCATGTTGTTTTTGTTTTCACTCAACGATCAGTATTGTGTTGGGTGAAGAGTCCGTAGAGGGTTTTTTTTGTTCATTAACAGTGGTGATGGAAAGACATGAACATCAGCTGCATGTTCACGTTCAGTAGGATCAAACCAGCTGCTCATCTAGCTCTTAACAACTGGCGTCAGACAAAAACTCATAACACGCATTCAATTACTGTTTTTATTCTTGTACGTATAATGCTAGAAATTTAACCCTAAAATTTATTCATAAAGTGTGTGTGTGTGGGGGTGTGTGGGTGGGGGTTGTGTTATACATCGGTTATTGATGATTAGATTTTTTTTTGCTTCTTAATCTAAAACAATGATGATCGTATCATACTCAAGATCGTATTATGCATGAATAAATATGGTTATGTAAATATTTTTAGATTTTGTGAAGTTTGTGACAAAAAATGATTTTCACACATTAAAACTACCTGTAGTTCTACCAATACTAGGGTTGGGCATAATCATATAGTGTGCAATTAATTGTTAGAAAGTTTTTCAGCAATTAATGTTTAAAACGTTGCAATTAGTGCCTTGTGGTGATATACACACTCTCACTATCAGGTGAGCCCAGTGGTGGAAGGCAGTGCAATGCAACTAATATCAACCCTTTCAATTTATTTAATCACCTGAAACTGACATAAACTGGTGAAAGAGGAAAGCCAGGACATGAGACCAAGGCCACGACTGCTACACACAAGAGCAATTATCATCCAATAATCATTATATCAGTCGTTATTGGCTAAATGACACAAGTAATCGTGATAAATGTTTTTGCTAAAATTGCCCAACCCTAACATGTTGTTCTATAAGTGTTTTTGCATGGTTGTTTTGTTTAGTGTGAAACACCTAATTTAAAGAAACTGTTAGGATTTGTGTCTGTGTTAATGTTTTATTTTAGTTTTCTGTCTTGTCAACTGTTTTCTTCCTCCTGAGAGAATATATACCCCAGCATTCGTCAAATGACGTCACACGAAAAGTGACAGGTGCCCCGTCCCTTTAGGGCGGAACTTCCGTTCAAGCCCCTCTTCCTCTCCCCCTC